TTATGTATTTCGATCCGCCTGCTCGAGACAAATTCAGTGATTGCTTTGCCATGTCTGTGCTGTGAAGCAGTCGAGATATATAAATGTTTTTCTAAGGACCTCCCAGTTGACATAAAATTGCAGTTAAATTATATAAATGGATGTAATGATACAGCCGACCACCAGAGGGAGGCAAAAACACATTTATATGACAGAGGTCGGTGACATGGTTCAAGGAAGGTCTGGATGGCTGTCTTCTGACTTATAAAATGGTGGGAAATCAATAAAATAATTCATGTAAACATATACATATTTTTCAAAGTTTCGGGGACTGTCAGCTTAAGAGGTTTAAAGACAACAAAGTAAATTCAGTTTAGAAAAATTCAATTAATTTCCGCTTCAACGCTCTTAGTTGTTGCAGAAATTGACCCACTATGCTGTTTACTTTGTGCATCTACGTCATATCACTGAATATATTTTATAATCAATAAAAAGGTGGTAGTGTTTAAGGAGTGTTTTAGATTTTGAGAGTACCAGTGCCCGTATTCATAAAGTTTCTCAGAGAAGGAGTGCTGCTGATCTAGGATCAGTTTTGCCTTTAAGATCATAATGAATAAGATTATATGGACAAGAGGGACCTAATCCTAGATGAGCGATCATATTCTGAGAGGTTTTATGAATACAGGCCCAGTACGTTTGGAGTCATGACCAATAGGGGACTTGTGAAAATGCATACAGAGGGAACTCCCTCTATAGGTGACTTCCCAAATGTATAACGTCTGAAATCCTTTATAAAATATATTTCCTTGTGCTACATTTCATGAAAATACAAAATTGCGTTGACATGTTGTTCAGATGGAATGACCCTACAACCAACTTTAATGTTTTATAATTACTGTAAGCCTTATTTATCTCTGCCGCGGCACTGTCTGGGACATAGACTTCTATTACACCATGGGCCAGCATGCCAAAATTCACATATTTATCCACTTTGGGGTAGCAAAGTCTAATTATGATTTTCATGTCTGTAGGTTATATTTTTGTATAATGTCCCACGTATCGGATTTAGCTAAATGTGGTTATCACTGCATTATACAGTGCATTTGGAAAGTATTCAGACCCCTTGACTTTTTCCACATTTTATTACGTTACAGGCTTATTCTATAATGGATTAAATTAATTATTTTGTTTCATCAATCTACACACAATACCCCATAATGACAAAGTGAAAACAGGTTTATAGAAAACTTTGCACATAAAAAATATAAAAAACTGAAATACCTTATTTACAAAAGTATTCAGACCCTTTGCTATGAGACTCGAAATTGAGCTCTGGTGCATCTTGTTTCCATTGATCATCCTTGAGATGTTTCTACAAGTTGATTGGAGTCCACCTGTGGTAAATTCAATTGATTGGACATGATTTGGAAAGTCATACACCTGTCTATATAAGGTCCCACATTTACAGTGCATGTCCGAGCAAAAACTAAGCCATGAGGTCGAAGGAATTGTCTGTAGAGCTCCGAGACAGAATTGTGTTGAGGCACAGATCTGGGGAAGGGTACCAAAAAATGTCTGCAGCATTGAAGGTCCCCAAGAACACAGTGGCCGCCATCATTCTTAAATGGAAGAACTTTGGAACCACCAAGATTCTTCCTAGAGCAGGCCGCCCGGCCAAACTGAGCAATCGGGGGAGAAGGGCCTTGGTCAGGGAGGTGACCAAGAACCTAATGGTCACTCTGACAGAGCTCCAGAGTTCCTCTGTGGAGATGGGAGAACCTTCCAGAAGCACAACCATCTATGCAGCGCTCCACCAGTCAGGCCTTTATGGCAGAGTGGCCAGACGGAAGCCACTCCTCAGTAAAAGGCACATGACAGCCTGCTTGGAGTTTGCCAAAAGGCACCTAAATTACTCTCAGACCATTAGAAACAAGATTCTCTGGTCTGATGAAACCAAGATTGAACTCTCTGGCCTGAATGCCAAGCATCACGTCTGGAGGAAACCTGGCACCATCCCTACGATGAAGCATGGTGGTGGCAGGATCATGCTGTGGGGATGTTTTTCAGTGGCAGGGAGACTAGTCAGCATCGAGGGAAAGATGAACGGAGCAAAGTACAGAGAGATCCTTGATGAAAACCTGCTCCAGAGCACTCAGGACCTCAGACTGGGGCGAAGGTTCACCTTCCAACAGGACAACGACCTTAAGCACACAGCCAAGACAATGCAGGAGGGGCTTCGGGACAAGTCTCTGAATGTCTTTGAGTGGTCCAGCCAGAGACCTGACTGGAGAGACCTGAAAATAGCTGTGCATCAACTCTCCCCATCCAACCTGACAGAGCTTGAGAGGATGTGCAGAGAACAATGGGAGAAACTCCCCAAATACAGGTGTGCCAAGCTTGTAGTGTCATACCCAAGAAGACTCGAGGCTGTAATCGCTGCCAAAGGTGCTTCAACAAAGTACTGAGTAAAGGGTTTGAACCCTTATGTAAATGTGATATTTCCGAATTTGCAAAAATTCTAAATACCTGTTTTTGCTTTGTCATTATCTCTGACTCTACTGATAACTACTTTATTGAGGAAAAATGTACTTTCTGTGCCTGTGATATGTGGTTGTCCCACCTAGCTATCTTAAGAAGAATGCACTAACTGTAAGTCGCTCTGGATAAGAGCGTCTGCTAAATTACTAATATGTAAATGTAAAACATGTGTGTTACAATGAGGACAACACAAAATGATGGCTCAAGTATATCAGTTATATGTATTTTGCTAAATATGCCAAAAAGCTGTCCTTATTTCTGGGTTCTGGAGCGTACAACACTGCTGATTATTTTGGTGTTAAATGAATGGAATGGAATACTATATAAAAGCTGAAGAAAGGAATGGAATGCAATACAGTATAACAGCCGAAGAAAGGAATGCGCAGCCTGCCCCGGGACGTCTTCCTGGGAACGACTGTACTTGCTGTTGGGGACGAGTGGAAGACTGCCTTCAACACGGCCAGCGGTCACTACAAGTATCTGGTAATGCCATTTGGCCTTATCAATGGGCCCTGCTTTTCACCGGGTTTAACTTCTCCCTCTCATATCGACCGGGATCCAAGAATGTCAAGCCAGATGTGCTGTCACGCCGCTATAGCCCCACGGCTACACCCCCGGAATCCGAGACCATCCTTCCCACATTGTGCTTGGCGAAGGCACTCAGTTGTGGAATAGGGAAGGAGGTACGGAAGGCACAGCGTTCCCAGCCAAACCCCTGGGGGGGGGGGGGCAGATAACCAGATGTTTGTTCCTGACACTGTCCGCTCCTCATTCCTGGAGTGGGCCAACTCCTCCAGGCTTGCCTGCCACCCGGGCTCCCGTCGGACCCTGGCTTTTGTGCGACAACGCTTTTGGTGGCCTACCATGGTTCCTGACGATTGCAACACCACCATCCTGAGAGTTGTGGACCGGTTTTCCAAAGCCGCCCACTTCATTCCTCTCCCCAAGCTACCCTCTGCCAAAGAGACGGCCAGCTCATGGTGCAGCACATCTTCCGGATCCATGGACTCCCAGTGGACATGGTCTCCGACCGGGGTCCTCAGTTCTTGTCCCGGTTCTGGAAGATGTTCTGCATACTGATTAGGTTGTCGGCCAGCCTGTCCTCTTGTTTCCACCCTCAGTCCAACGACCAGTCGGAGCGAGCTAACCAAGACCTAGAGACGACTCTGCGCTGCCTGGTCGCCACGAACCGCACCACCTGGAGCCTGCAACTAGTGTGGGTCGAATACGCCCGCAACACCCTTCCGTGCTCTGCCACGGGTCTTTCACCCTTTGAGTGTTCCCTGGGTTATCAGCCCACACTCTTCCCGGAGCAAGAGGAAGAGGTCGGCATACCCTCGCCCAGATGTTTGTCCGCCGCTGTCGATGTACCTGGAGGAGAGCTCGGTCGGCTCTGCTCAAGACCACCTCCAGGTATCGACGACAAGCAGACCGCCAACGGACCCCGGCTCCCCGGTATTGTCTCGGGCAGAAGGTATGGCCTTCCACCTGAGATCTGCTCCTCCGGGTGGAGTCCCGCAAACTTTCCCCCCGGTTTATCTGCTCTTTCCCCATCTCCAAGATCATTAGCCCCTCTGCTGTTCATCTTCTGTTGCCCCATACCCTCCGTATACATCCCACTTTTCATGTGTCTAGCATCAAACCCATGTCTCACACCCCTTTGTCTCCTGTTTCCAATGTGTGTCTTCTCCTTAACTACCACTGGATGCTTCTCTGTCTCCTTCCATTTCAGTTTTACCAGCATTATCTCAGTACTGACTTCATGACGGCTGAGACTATTTATGAAACCCATGTTGGGAGAATTTTGAGTGACAGGGTTGAACACAGCTCATAATTCTGATTATACCCTGAAACATTTCCAAGAATTTGAGCATGCAGGAATCAAGACGTGAAATTCAGACAACAAAATACGTTTTCAGTAAAAACACATTTAATTGTTTGGTAGCAAAAACAGCACCTCAGGCAACTGTGGGAAGCTTCTTTGGGGTCCAACAGAACACAACAGGGAAGACATGCACTACTACCTAGCCTAGCAGACATTTTAGACAGGTTGACCAAGAACACTGCTGCTGCACTGTTACATTCACACTCCCTCAGAGCAACACTTGTCATGGACAGTACACATTATCATCCATTTCATTCAACTGAACTCAGAGAATGTCCCTCTTTACAGTTAACAGGGTTGAATAGGTTTGGAGGGAATGTTCTACAAGTTGTAACTTCAGCTTTTGCTTTACTTGTTGTGTAGCAAACTACAAGCATTTTGTTTAAGAACAGATTTAGTAAAGACATAAGACATACAGTATGAATGAGAAAAATATTCTGTGGTCCCTTTAAAATCTTTGGTTGGATTAAACATGTTTATTGCTTAACAGCCACATTTATATTTGTGCTCATGTAACATTGTTTGCCTTTGACTTGAATTGTTACACTGTGGTGGAATGGTCAGCAAGAGAGTAGACAAGATGGCATTATCCAGCCGCTCATTCATCAACCACCTCAGAGGACTCAGAGACAACTTTGCCATCCTTGGTCTCGATCATCTTGATGACGACACTCTTCTTGTTCTGGGTGGTGACGCTGGTGCTGCCGCCGCCGTAGCCGCTACCGGAGCTGAAGCTGCTGCCACCGTATCCACTGCCGTATCCACCGCCGTATCCACCGCCGTATCCACCACCGAAGCCACTGGAGTAGCCACTGGAGTAGCTGCTGTTAACACTCTCCATGGGGAAGGAGTTGTAGCTTGCTGTAAGGTGACACAGAGAGAGACAACTGGTAAATACAGGTTGGTCAAACATGAATGCCATGGATGTTTTAAATGCACCACAACACAGAAGGGGAAAACGCAGGGTTTTATTTAAATAATCTGCTAAATGGCATATATTTATGTGAAGAAAGCATGTACTTACAGCTCTGTTTGGAAATGTTGATGGACTGGATACCAGTTGCTATCCTGGTGGTGAAAAGAAGACCAATTGAAAATGTTAGTTTCTGGTAATATACAGTATTTCCATTGCCATATAATACACTGTACTTTAGCTGACGTGTACTATTTTTGTGGATGTCAAGATCTCACCTGTCCTCCTCTCCCTCCAGTAGCTTCCTGTAGGTGGCAATCTCAATGTCCAGGGCCAGTTTGACGTTCATCAGGTCCTGGTATTCTCTGATCTGCCGGGCCATGTCCTGCTTGGCTCTCTGCAGCGCATCCTCCAGATCCCTGATGCGGAGCTTGGCATCCTTCACCGCCATCTCCCCGCGCTCCTCAGCCTCGGCGATCTGGGATTCCAGGTTGGCACGCTAACACAAGACAAAGACATGGCATGTCATTATTTCTGCTTATTATCAAATTGTTAATGCCCTTGGAAAATAGTATATTCTGTCAACATCACATGGGTCTACATGCCACAAATCTAACACTAAGATAAGATAGTACTTTATTAGCGCTGAGTGTCTTGGTTGTGTACCTGTCCCTTGACGGACTCGATCTCAGACTGCAGTCTCTGGATCATGCGGTTCAGGTCGGCGATCTCTGTCTTGGTTGATCTCAGGTCATCCCCATATCTGGTGGCAGATGTCTGCATCTCCTCATACTAAACACCCAACAGGAAGAAAGCAGAGAGTTCCTTAGTGATACATGCTCAGTGTGGAAAACATATAAACTTTTTCTCATCTGAACTACATACAGTGTACTGAAAGGCTATAAGCAGCCCTGAACATAGCGGCCAAAGGGAGAAAACATGTTTAGCTACCATAGAGGAACCCATTACTATACCTTGCTCTTGTACCATGTCTCGGCCTCGGCCCGGCTCTTGTTGGCGATGTCCTCATACTGGGCGCGCACTTCAGCCACGATGGAGTCCATGTCCAGGTTACGGCTGTTGTCCATCTCCACCACCACTGAGGTGTCCTTGATCTGGCCCTGCAGCTCACGCAGCTCCTGGAGAGAGAGAAGGAGAGAGAGAGAGGAGAGAGAGAGAGAGAGAGAAGGAGAGAGAGAGACCATCAAACACTTGGCCTATTGCAGACAAGACTTTCAGACTTCCACCTACCCCAGAGATGAAAACCCACCCAGATTGATTCCAGCAGTTTGACTTCAAAGACAAGATGCCTAACAGAAGTCAGTAAAACTGCAGATCCAGCATGAGAGAGAGAGACCCATTCCAGTGTACACCACAAACAACACCATATGCCATCACTCAATAAATAAATAAAGTTAAAGCAAAAAACAAATCCGGGCGGTTGTTGGAAGCTGCCAACAACATATCTGGTTGTAATGAATGAGTGTCTAATTAAGAAGAAGAGCCAATAATATCATCCTAATTATGAACTGAAGAGTCAATAATGTCATCCTAATTAAGAACTGAAGAGTCAATAATGTAATCCTAATCCAAACAGTTGTTGTAGTAATTTCCTAGCACATTAGGTAGATAGATGGAGTTAGATACAGTATATAAGGTTATGGCTTGATGTATTTATTTTGAACCCAACTGTTATCGAGTAACGTAAACAGGAAGTAGCTAAGTGATGAGCTCAGTGCCTTACCTCATCATAGATCTGCCTCAGGAAGTTGATTTCATCTGTCAGGCTCTCCAGCTTAGCCTCCAGCTCAACCTTGTTCATGTAGGCCTCGTCCACGTCCTGAGAGGAACATTCACAATCCAGATGTTAACAAGATGGCAAGATGACAGCAAGAGAAGGCCAGAAAAACTGACGGGATAAAAACGTAAGTAACTAACCTTCTTGATGAGCACAAAGTCGTTTTCACACTCGGTACGCTTGTTGATCTCATCTTCATACCTGAGGATGGAGAGCAATGTTTGCTTTATTTCAGATATTAATATATTCAACATTCAATTTTATATATTTCAATGTTCATAATTATATTGTAACTGTGTATTATTATGATATAGTAATAGAGTTAATATACCGTTTTCACACTAGGGGGCATGAGTGCTACGTTCACAACAACTATGCCTTTGGGAATCGTTTTCTACTCTGCACTCTTGAATCTGGGCCAACCTTGTGAGGTGTTTCTTTACGTTGTTCTATTTCCCCCTGAGGACACAGACTGCTAATGTGCTCATATCATTTGTCAGGACTGACAGATAGGAAGCACTGGTGCGTGTTCCGACGCCATGACGCAGCGATCTTTGTAAGCGAAGCTGAAAGACATCCAGCTCTGTCATCTAAATTACTTTCACCTCCAGTCAAGTAAAATATAAAGTTTCCTCCAGTACATGCCAGTGCAACGTAGTAATCCCTATGATGTGACGACAATGGACTACAGTTGGGTGTTGTCCATCTATAGTACTGAGATTACATAATACTGTTGTGTCCTGTGTTACTGATTAAATCCAAACTCCCTCTACTAACAGGCTTTCCCTGGCCCTTTACTGCACCACTCCAATGGTACTATGAACCTGGCCAGGCAGAGGCCCAAGCAAAGTATTTTCTGAAAATATGGCTGATGACATCTGTTAAGTAAAGGCAGAGACATGAATAGCGAACTCACTTGTTCTTGAAGTCTTCCACCAGGCCCTGCATGTTGTGCAGGTCAGCCTCCAGCTTCATCTTGTCGTTGCCCAGGCCGTCCAGCTGTCTGCGCAGGTTGGAGATGTAGGCCTCGAACATGGCATCGATGTTGGAGCGGGTGGTGGTCTGTCCCTGGAGGAGGCCCCACTTGGTCTCCAGCATCTTGTTCTGCTGTTCCAGGAAGCGTACCTGTGTGTGTGCAAGAGGGGGTATATGTTTATTCATTTGATAAGCACATTGATCACAAGTTTATCACATTATCACAATATATTTTTTCCTTCTGGACTTTAGGAGCATCGATGGTGGGTTAACAAGACTTAACCATGGCTATCCTCATGCCGTCCTCATGTGAACTTTCTAATCCTCCAATGGAGAAATTAGGGTGTTTATTGCTTAAATTAGTGTTTGGAGCTTGTGGGGACAGCTGTTTTCAAGGGAGCTACGATGTGCATCCTGACAGGAGGCAGAGGGGGTAGATGGAAAGAGTTGGTGACAGAGTTATTTAGACCTCCTCCACGTTTTCCTGTTTTAAAAGGGCGAGGTCAAGAGGTGGGGCAACCGCCGGCCTGAGAGAGAATGGAGAGGAACGGGACAAAGTTAGACGGGCCCCATCCAACCAACTAGAAGGTAAATATTTAACTGCAGTGTAAAGGTAGGTGTAATGGGGGAGGGCGAGAGCATGTTGGCTCGTCTATAATAGGGGGATAGAATAGATAGATGACTGTCAGTGGACATTGCTCCTGACTGAGATTCAGGAATTATCCTAAAATGGCTGCCTCAACTGCTATTAGATTAGAGTCAATACTTAGAAATAAGTAGGAAAGGGAATTGTTATCACAAGATAAAAAAGGAGGGGCCATCTGCAAACTATTATCTATTCTCTTTAGAAACATGCAATGGTAAAATCCCTTTCTGATTAGTTTTGTTCCTTGTTATGTAACCAATCCACTGGTGTTAGCCAGAACATGAAACCAGCTGCCCTTTAAAAAACTAACCCACTGGAGCAGGCTAGGCGTGTGGGACAGATAGGTCAGTAGAAAAGCCATTAAGAAAACGCCCCCAGGCATGAATTAAACTAAAGCAATATGAAACATTGCAATCACTTGTAAATATTATGTATTGATGTTTGACCGTGTTCCGATGTTGCCCTCCATGTATTCGTATACACTACCCTTTCATTGAATTTCACTCCATTGATCGAAGACTTGTTAAGAATATGAAAAGTATGTAAACGTAACAATGATGGTGATGACAAAATGGTCCTGTCTGTGTTCCAGGAGTATTACTTTTTTTGGAGTGTCCACCAGGGCAGGAGTGGGCCACACCACTCCAAAGAGCGGGCCACACCCCTCCGCAGGGGCAGCCATTCCCAAGGTAAACCAGATCACTAGCTACTCTAACCAGAGACAGACACACCCTTCTGTAGAATCTCTCTCCCCCACCCCACCCTGCTGCACTTCTGTTTTCATCACTATAAAAGGACAATTACTGCAAAACCATTAGATGTGAATTCTTGAGAACCCAGAGAAAACTAGCACAATCAGTTTGTTTGACTGCAAATGTGCATTGTTCAGTCTCAGACAAGTCCTTTCTAGATTTTCTTCCCTTTTCCAAGCTGATGAGTTTGCTTGTGCGTGTATTCAACCTAACACACTGTAACAGATCTCCCATGGCGTGTACCAGCATTACACAAAGTGGACCTTTCCATCCATCTGCTCCACTATTCCACATTCATTACACAACAGACACCTCAGCATTGGAACAGATTCATAACATCCCACAGACTGTCTGGACTTCCCTTTTTCATTCAACGTCAAACGTTTTCTAGGAGTTTAAGCTCATGGCAAAGTACATTGTCAGAGATATTGATAGGCACAGACAGAAATACAGACAGACAGATAGACAGAGACAGGTTACCAGGACTGACCTTGTCAATGAAGGAGGCGAAGCGGTTGTTGAGGCCCTTGATCTGTTCTTTCTCATGGGTACGGACGATCTGGATGTTGGGGTCGATCTCCAGGTTGAGGGGGGCAAGCAGGCTCTTGTTCACCTGGACAGCGGTGATGGGGGCATGAACGCCACCACCCATCCCCATCCCCATCCCCATCCCCAGGCCCATGCCACCTCCATAGGCTGAGGAGCTGGAGATGTAACTGCCGCCTCCACCACCGGCCCCGAACCCACCTCCCATGCCCCTGTTGGCCCCTCCATAGGAGCTACGGGCGCTGTAGCTCTGGCGAGAGGCCCCCTGGCTGGGTCCAGAGTAGGACATGCTGCTGAAGCTGCGAGGGGCTGCCCCAGAGGAAGAGGACTTGACGGTGTAGCTGGTAGTTTTCCTGACCGACATCCTGGCTGGTCTTGAGCGGTTGGTGAGTGCAGGAGACTGAGGGGGAGATAGAGTGGCAGGCGGGCTTGTCTGGAGTGCTGGAGAAACCCAAGTGGATAGACAGAGAATGACTAACTGGTTTTAAGAGCCTTCCCGGTGGGAGGGGCCAAAGGGCTAACTCTCATTGGGCAGGCCTCTGGGTGAAGGGAGAAGAGGGAGGAGTATTACAGCGTAACAGAAAACGTTTTGTTTCTAACACAAGCTGACAAAATTATTACCTGGCGGTACGGCATAGGGAACCTGTTGGAGTGTGAAAGCCTGAGGTGAAATATGATAACAGCAGGTTATACAACTGTCATGTAGTTGAACAGGTTCACCTCTCTACATAGCTTTACATAGTCAAATGTGTTACACGACAAGGGTTTAGAAGGGTCAAGGGACAAGGGTCTCACCCTAATAACTTGGTCTATTTTCCCCTCATAATTTAGCCTACTGTTCTGACTTGGTGGTGCACATATAACCTATAGCCTGTTTTAGAGAAATGTCATCATTGAATATTGTAAGAGCTATCATTGTCTGCTTATACGCCCCCTTTATTTATCCTATGGTTCTGTCTTGGGGTACAGGGAGAATACTGTAAGAACGGCCCATGTTCTGAATTCTGTCGCTGTACATTTCAAAAGTGCTGAACAAATAGTTATATTGACTACGTCCGTCCTGGCTCACTCATTAATGTTTTAATCAAAATTACGGATTGCCTCTTATCCGCTTGTCGTCCCCTTATGCCATAGTTTGTACATTTCAATTGTCAGTAAAAAACACAATTGTTTAAGCAAGTCAGCCATATCAGCTATGTTTTTTGAAAAGACAGTGAATGAGGCTGAATGAACTGTTTCCCTGCCAGACAAGGCTCCGCTGATAGAAATGTGTAGCGGTGGTAAGGTGTTGGGACTGCTGTTGGGACTCTGCTTTTGGGACAGCTTTATGTAGGCCCTAACAGTTTGTAGGCACCGTTTGTCACCATTATAGTCCAATGAATGTATTGTTTAGTGTTGTGTTGTGTTGTGGCTTTGCTGGCATGCATAAAACATTTTGGGGGGAGTTTGCCCCACCAAGATTTACATGCTAAAATCACCACTGATTACCCCAATTGTACTTTCTGATGTAGCAACATGTGCAGCCTACCACAACAAATACCTGAGTATGGCTATCTTTCGAGCATGAAAATTCCAGCATTTTTTAGATGTACAACATCAATCAGGATATATATAATGTCAAGAGAGGCTATCATTTGGCTACTGTTTTTACATAGGTTTCTGTTGGGTGTGATCATTTGTGACAATGCTTTTTATTACTTATCAAGTATACAATGCCTTGGCACCGTTGCCACTCCTCACCTTTCCTCTCCATTCTCAGAGAGTGAGTCATGACTCCTTGAGCCAAACACTCCATCATCTCTCCGTCCCCTCTTGTCCTGCCAACGGATCCCTTGCCCTTGTTATTGCCATGGCAACCTTGAGAAATACATTATGGGTAAATCTCTCACTCTCTTGAAATAGATCCAAGTGTGTGAGCTGTGTGACTGTAATGCTGCGAGCTGTGTGACTGTAATGCTGCGAGCTGTGTGACTGTAATGCTGCGAGCTGTGTGACTGTAATGCTGTGAGCTGTGTGACTGTAAGGCTGTGAGCTGTGTGACTGTAATGCTGTGAGCTGTGTGACTGTAAGGCTGTGAGCTGTGTGACTGTAATGCTGTGAGCTGTGTGACTGTAAGGCTGTGAGCTGTGTGACTGTAATGCTGCGAGCTGTGTGACTGTAATGCTGCGAGCTGTGTGACTGTAATGCTGCGAGCTGTGTGACTGTAATGCTGCGAGCTGTGTGACTGTAATGCTGCGAGCTGTGTGACTGTAATGCTGCGAGCTGTGTGACTGTAATGCTGCGAGCTGTGTGACTGTAATGCTGCGAGCTGTGTGACTGTAATGCTGCGAGCTGTGTGACTGTAAGGCTGTGAGCTGTGTGACTAATGCTGCGAGCTGTGTGACTGTAAGGCTGTGAGCTGTGTGACTGTAATGCTGTGAGCTGTGTGACTGTAATGCTGTGTGACTGTAAGGCTGTGAGCTGTGTGACTGGAATGCTCTCAGACAGTTTAACAGTCTTACATAGAGTGAGAAATATGTGCGGCTGCGTGACAATTTCGACACACTGTTGTCAATGCATAAGCCATATAGAAATGTGTGATTTTCAAAATATATTCATACAAACTCCTCCTTACAACACATTTTTGGGCACTTACTACTAGTTGACCCTATTGCTATCAAAACAGCTGACCTATTGATACCACATTTGGACTCAAAGGTGTCAGTCAAGTATTTCTGGCCATTCCGTCTTATCTCTCATCAGGGTACAACACTTATCTACAGTTTGAATCTCTGTCCCTCCCCATCCAGTGCATGTCAAGATGACGACTTCATCAACTGTATTTACATGTTGCCTTAGGCTAGTAACTATTAGCTAACATCTCCTGGGTTACTCAAGAGTCAACTCATTTTAATTCATGTGGCGTGGTCATTTTACATACAGACCAGTTTACACAGAGATTATTGTATTGATGAGCCTTTAAGCTTTGTGTGCATTCAGCTCTGGGTGAATGGCAGATAGAAATATCTCTCTCAACCTTTGATCCCCCTCAGAAAGACCCAGAAAGGGTGTGTCTGAGTATGGTTGTGTCTGAGTGTGTTGTGGAACTTATGCAACTCCCTCATGTCACAAGTGCTTTGAGTCCAGTGAAGTGGTTTAGAATCAGGGGGTGGAGATTGAATCACCATTACCAACCATTAGCATAATATCACATATTATTCATTTGTTTACTCCTTTTTGTGGCAAAGTTTTGGCATATTTAGAAGGACTGATTCACTTATGGTGCTTTCATAAGCATTCTTCTTTATTGAGGACATCAAATGCACTGCAGTAAAATATCTGTTTTCAAGCAAAGCCCATATCAATTTTCAGGGTTGGGTACATTACTTTTTAATGTAATCAGTTACAGTTTCTAGTAACCTGTCCAACATTATAATCAGTAACGTAACTTTTGTATTACCCAAACTCAGTAACGTAATCTGATTACTTCCATTTAAGAAGCAAGAGAAGAAGACAATTATTACTATTACAAATTGAACGACATCTATTGCAGGATAAATCAATGTTAGAGTTTACATGGCTGGCCATAAATGGATGTTGCATTTTACTTTATGGGTTGGTTATGTAGGCTTCTTCTAACCCATTGCTTTCTGCTACAGATACTAATATGATTAGGCTATATCTTTACAATAAAAACCAAAGGCTGTCACATTTTCAGTCTTAATACCCCTTGATCTTCAAGAATTGGACTTGGAAATGTGGAAATATAGATTATGTTGTCATGGAGGACTGATTGGGCTCATTGCTTCGAGTTGAAAAAGAAATGCTTCTCTCATGGAACTGCATGCTTTGAGCACTACCGGAAAGTGCGATTTGCACATGAAAAATGTATGCCATATGCTGCATTTGCTATAGGCCTAATGTTTACGTTTTTGTTGGTGACACTTTGATATTAGTCTATATAAATAGTTTGAGCATGTGTCCGTTAGGCCTATGGGTTTTATTTTTGAATCTGCACGAATTAGATTGAGCAATAAAAGCCCCACTCGTGGTCTTCTTCAATGAAACTAGTTGTTGACAGTATTGAGCACAAGACCACGGAGGAGTTTAGAAGGAACTTCCTCAAACTTTTATTCCATAGGCTGGGATCCACATGCAGCAATTGCAAGAGCCCATTTTTCACTGTCTGTCCACTGGTCACAAAAAAAACTATGATTGATAGGCAGATCAAACTTCTTTAGTTCAACCATTATTGGGTTAAAATTCACATGTCCACAGCCATCCACAAGAACTACAATCCGTAAGGCGCAAATAGCTAAATGAGAGAGCAGCAGTGTGATTCACACCAATGCGCTATGTACTGTACAGTAGGGTCTGAAATTATTGACACCCTTGAAAAAGATTAGCAATAATGACTGTATAAAATAAATAATTCTAATACTGAGCTATATTGTATGCTAAATAAATTGATAAATTATATTATTTTATGCTAATACAATTGCTCAGAGAAAGAGATTTTGTTTAGCAAGTAATACTTTTCTTCTCACGAAGGTAGGGGGTCAAAATTATTATAAATAAAGTAGTCAAAAGTTTAGTATTTGGTCCGATATTTCTAGTATGCAATGACTACATACTACTACTACAAACCTGTGACTCTACAAATATAACGACACAGGATGAGACCCAGATGCATACACAGGAGGCAGATGGTTAGAGTTACTGATATTTATTAAAATACAAGGGGCAGGCAAGAGGCAAGTCGAGGACAGGCAGAAGTTCCTAAACCAGGTCTGAGTCCGAAAGGTACAGGATGGCAGGCGGGCTCGAGGTCAGGGCAGGCTGAATGGTATGGCAGGTGGACTCAGTGTCAGGGCAGGCTGAATGGTACGGCAGGTGGACTCAGTGTCAGGGCAGACAGGAAACACTGGTATAGATACACAGGGGATAATGGGAACAAATGGGAGACACCTGGTAGGGGGGTAGAGACAAGCACAAGACAGGTGAAACAGATCAGGGTATGACAACAAACTTGTTGGATGTGTTTGCAGTTCATTTTGGTTGTGGTTCAGATTATTTTGTGCCCAATAGAAATGAATGGTACATAATGTGTTGTGTCATTTTGGAGTCACTTTTATTATAAATAAGAATAAAATATGTTTTTAAACACTTCTACATTAATGTGGATGCTACCATGATTACGGATCATCCTGAATGAAGCGTGAATAATGATGAGTGAGAAAGTTACAGAAGGGTCAAAGATCATCACCCCCAAGACATGCTAACCTCTCACCATTACCAATAACAGGGGACGTTATCATGTCTTGGGGGTATGATCTTTGACCCATGTAGATATCAAAACTGATATCCTTATAGCCCGTA